GCGCAAAGCGCCGCGTTTTTGGCCGGGACGGATGGTCGGTTTTGGCCGTAACGATTTGCATCGTTACAACCTTAAGCAATAAGCCACGACACGGCACGCCCTGTTGAGGCTGGAGACCCTGTCTAGAAGCTCGTTGACGACGTGATTTTCCACTACGGCTACGGGGGCAACTACTAATCTTTGTTCAGGTACATTGTCCTTTAACTGTTGAAAGTTGGTGTCTGGCCAACGTTCCTCCTCTGCCTGTAAGAAAGAAGGCCCATGCCACCACAGCGACGCACTAGACAGCTCGTAAGGATCTAATCCGCGCGACAAATGATCAGCAAGATTACTGTGCGAAGCTACATGACGCCAATCCTTAACATCGGTTAAACGTTGTATCTCTCCGACTCTATTCGCCACGAACACCGTCCACTTTCTGGACGGCAAAGCTATCCAGTTTAAAGTGATGGTGGAGTCCGACCAGAGAAAGACCTGCACCGAAGTTAAACTCAGGGTTTCCCCGACCTTGCTTATCAACCGAGCTAGCAGCAACGCTGCGGACAACCTCGAGTCGTGGCAAAGACACCGCCTTGAGTGGTGCGACCCGAGACTTTGAGCACAGCAGCTCGGAACGACACTCGTTTGGTCCGAGCCGAGTGCGAACGTACACGCAGGCCCCGTACGCTCGTTGACTGGCGTCGCAAAACCCGTGTAACTGCACGAGACGCGGATCCGACCTGAACTTGACACCACGGGAAACTTGCATCTGGTTCAAGCTGGCCAGCTGAGACTTAAGTCTAGACCAGCGAGTATGGATCTTCTGAGGTGCGGACTCGTCCCACTGGACGTCCGCTTGCCAGAGATCCTGAAGTATTATTTTTGCGATAACAACGACCGGCCCCAAAAGGCCCAGTGAGTCGAATAGCCTTGCAATTTCGGACAGAATCGTTTGCTTAGAGGCAACGTTACATGTCAAACCTAGCTCATAAGAAAAATGGAACGTGTCTGTAGCCTGATTCCACTGAACCCCTAGAATACACGAATCTGTTTCATCCTTTATGACAACGAGTTCTCGACCTCGATCCTCCAGGTTCTCGAGCAACTCTGGGCAATTAGACGCCCATTTGCTCAACTCGAACAACCCCAGCTGTAACAACTTTACGATTTTGTCTCGAGCTAGTCTGGCTTCGACCAGAGAGTCCGCTCCTGTGAGCAGATTGTCCATGTAAAAATCCCGTTTGACGCGGGACGAACCAACGGGAAACTGAGACGAATGCTGTTCAGCTAAATGCAACAAGCATCTTGTAGCGGGTGATACTCTATTGACCACAGTACGATTCGACACCGCTCGATTCGACACAGATTTATTCGACACCAAATTATTCGACACCGTACGAT